TGAGATTTATAGAATATCAAATGCAAGAAAAAAGATTACTTGAAATAAAAAAAATCATCTACCAAAAAGAGTCGCAAATATTTAACATCATGAGAGTCGTACAGTAAACTTCCAAAAAAAAAAAAAAAAAAAAATCATGGTTGTACAACACATTTTTTTAATTCATAGTAAAGTCCTGTTTAATAATAATGAATGCGTTTTAGTACGATTATTGTGTTGAAAAGGACAAATAAATAAACAACTTCCCTTCATCAAAATCATATTGTTCTGATGGTTCAGATTTCAAAAAAAAAAAAAAAAAAAAAATGAATGAATCATTATTACACTACACAATCATGGATGCAACTGTTGTTATTATGGTATCTTCCTTCACCAACGAATTGAAAGTTTCAATTCCATATAAGATTTCTACGGATAGGTGTTCGATGAAATCATCGCTACAAAGTTTCAATGAAATTGATTCATTCGTTCACGGTGGCTTTATGCACATGGAAACGCGACGCAATTAGGTTATGCATAATACTTTGTCTTTTATCTTTAATTAATTTCACTTATCTTCTAGATACACTAAAAAATGGATTGTATATCATACATATAAAATAATTGTTCGATTTACTATATTACAAAAAAAGGTACCATAAATATCTATCAAAGATATTGATATGGAAAGTTATTACATGATAGATAATTACTTTTACATAAACTACTTACAAATAATAATATATTATTATGAAAAAATATCTTACAAGTTTAAAAGGTGGTTTTTTTGTTTGTGATTGTTTGTGTTTGTGTTGATTGTGTTTGTGGATATAAAGAAGAGGTTTTAAAGTACGCAAATAAATATACGAAAGAGAATAAAATTTAATTGCACTAAAACTTTCGAATAAAAAGTTCAGTACCGATAATGAAATCGATCACTTTTTCGAAATTGAATAATAAACCAATCAAGGCTCATTTGCTACGCCACGATTTTGCCTGATTCATAAACGGTTCACTCAAATATGATCATGAACCTTGGAAGGGTCGCCTATCAATAGGAGAAAGAAGGATTAATTGGACATTCACACTATGATACTATTAGAGATGAATGCGTGTGTACCTTATCTCGGTTAACCACGAGAATCCAGTTATGTTCTTCGGCCACAACGTCAATAACAAACATGACCTTGGTATAACTATTACTATCCGTATAATCACGAGATATTAAGGCGCTATGAGCGAACCACATTTCTACAAGAATGAAAAAAACGATTAGATTCATTTATTTTTTTCTTTTTATTACCTATTTTACTCCATCATACTTACTTTTGCCATGCTTTGAAAATTTCTTTCGATTGCCATGTTGAATGATACCACACATGCCGCAACCTTTTTTACAAAACACCTTGTTATCAAGAGAACAATAATTTGGATCCGCAAAACGTCTGGGATCACAATCGAATAACGTGGTGGTGCCGTGAAACATGCTGAATGTTATGTCATCAACGCTTTTATTCCCATGAAGTTTAGCGAATTTACTTTTATATTTCTCATGATCTTTAACCAATTTAGTTGGCATGTCCAACCTGATGATTGCTTTGATGATAGCACGAGGTATTTCAGAATAAAACATGTTTTTAACGGTAATATAATCCGGATCATATATTTTCAGTAAGGTCAGTTGAGATTTTACAAGAGGTAAGGTATTTTTATACGAATCGGATATGATTGATGATTTATTGCGCGTCGCACTGTATTGCGATGTACGAGTTGATGAACCCGGTAACCGAGAATGACACATTTCGCATACATTCAAGTTTGAATGATTTATCTCACATTCTATTTCCATGACATTACCACGTAAGGGACTTTCAGATGTTGGAGATGGGTAAAGTAAAGTGGTATTGTATTGCGAAAACAATGAAGTTGGGTATGGCATTGATGATTCCCAATAAGAGTCCAACTCCTCGTTAATAACTGACAAGGCATTATTATTATTTTGATTATGATTATGAGGATAAATATTAGGATTGTAAGGTTCGTCGTGATTAACTTCATTCACGTGGGGAAAATCGGGAAGATCGCTTAAATCATTTTGGTTGGTTGGTTCGTAAAGGTAATCCCCAGATAAATCAGTTTCGTAAGGTTCGTCAGATTCGTCTAATTCATAAATTTCATTTAATTGATCAAAATCATTAAATATAAAATCAATGTCAAATGGTTCTTCAATAAATTCAGGTAAGGTACAGGTGGTAACTTCGGATCCACGCCTAAGAGATTGTTGAGTACTAACTCGGGATATGCGTGAATTTAATCTACTATTTAACCTTGATATGGCGAAGAATGAACTCCTTCTCGTTGTAGGTTTTGGTTGTTCAAGGGTTGGTAGTACCTTATCACCACCATCCGATGATGCATCATTAGTAATACTTTTGGTTATAGTCTCACTCCATATTAAATTTCGACTATTTCTTTTTGAACCGCCACCATTTATTCTTAATTCTACGGAAGTATTTTCTATTGAAAGGTGGGTTATTTGTGATTTCGCATTATTACAATCTGGTTGTTTAAGTTTGAGGGTGGCTTTTGAGGGGGCCACCAATTTTTTCGTCCATGATTTCAGTTTATTTAAGATGTGCCTTTGTGATTTCTTTTGAGACGAGCGATCCATCATAAATATTATATGTCTGTACAAGGAGAGGAGCGAGAGAAAAAAAAAAAAAGTGTCAAAAGGGATCTCTTTTTTAAAAATGAGGGAACGAAAGATTTTATGTAACCAAAAAATAAAAAATTTTTAGGAAATAAAAAAAAAAGTTACATAAACATACACACATATATAAATGAGGTTGCCAAGAAAAAAAAAAAAAAAAAAGAAAAAAAAGAATCTTGACAAGAATAAAGGAATTAAACGTGTTTATATTTTGCTCCGAAAACCAAACTTACTATTTATAAAATAATCGGGAATACAATTTACTAATTTGGAAATCTTATTTAATTATTTAACTATATTTGTACTCTTGTTTATTAACTGATAGATTTCATCATGTGGAATAAACTCTACCATCTATAGGAGGAAAAACATTATATACCGTTAATCTTGAACCAGTTGAACAAAATCCCATTTATTTATTTGTCAGACTGCGGAAATTAAAATGTAAAATTAATTATGTTTATAAACAACACATGAAATATATGTACATGATTTTTTTTCTTTAACCTCTTGTCATGTACGCCACACATACCATCCATTAATTGGATTAAGCATTACAATGGTTGAAGAATAGAATGTAAAACTTTATTTATTTTATTTTTTTTTTTTTTCACTCCAATCCATCTTGCAACAAAAACAAAAAAAAAAAAAGAATTAATAAAGATAAAAAAAACCCGAAATTATCGCGTGGCCAGCAATCATTGTCTTACCATAAAGTATTACAGCATTAGATAATCTTATACTAGTTTAAATTATTAGGTAAAATCGATATTACTTATATAAGAAATCAAATGAATATAGTGCGATTAAACTATTAAGAATGTGTTGCATTGCATTTATTTTGTTAAGTTGTTTCATTCGTTCAAACTGAAATCTTGAGAAAATTTGATTTTACAATGTATTTCATAACATTGCATTACCTTTTTTTTTTTTTTTTTTTTTTTTTTTTTTGTTTTGTTTTGTTATTTTATTTAATTTTTTTTTTTTGTTTTGAAAAAAAAAAAAAAAAAAGGATGATAATACAATCGAAATAATCATTGATTACATTTGGTAATGAAAATGGATATGGATTTCTTTTTTTTTAATATATATCATTTTTTCTATTATTCTCCGGTTATTGTTCGTCATTTATTTTTTTTTTTTTATTTTTTTTTTTTTTGTTATTATTAATTTTATTATTGTTATTTGTCAATTACATAAGTTTTTTTTATTATTTTTTTAAGGAAAAGATTCCTTTACTAAGAAGTCTTTGGAAAAGAGAAATTACGTATCATAACTCCTATAAATACTATAAATACTTCAAACATAACCCCCTACAGAAAATGAATAAACATCAGGAAAGTAATCTTCGGGTAATCCGGGGTAAGTACGGAAAATCACGTTTCTTATTGTTTTTATTCTGATAACCTGATTGAAATCACAAAGCTGAACGATTTTTCAAAACATGATCTTTTGAACAACAAAAAAAAACCAGATTCGTCATCATCACTGTGATTTTACATATCTCGATTTGGTCTTTTTCCGCAACAATATTTTGGTACCACTGTCACCGGCATCTCGCCATGTACCCTAATCCAAAATTAGTCCCATCGTTCTACGTTTAACATGTATGGTAAATTGGTAAAGTCCGGTTGACAAATTTGAATTATTCGGAGATGTCTTTGTTAAAAGAGATGCTACGTAAAAAATGGAATGCATGAAATGACCCATCATTTCTTTGTTGTAATACCTGTAACACAAAAACAACCAGCCTTTCAAGAAATCATTTTGCACCGTGCGAAATGATTACGAAAACCCATCAGAAAATTTCCGAAATCTGATAACCCAAACATATTTGGTACTATAAAAAATCGTTTGGGTGATAAAATAAAAAATAAATCCTGCGTGATCGGTATTCCCTCCGGCAACGTAAAAAAGGAATAGAAAAAGATTCGCACGCTGATTTGTGCCTTGTACCATACACTTAAAATTATTTACCAATGTAATCACTTAATAAGATATTTCAAAAGGAAAAAAAAAAAAATAATAATAAAAAAAAGTTGTAGGACACGATAACTTTTAAGGTAATGCATGAAAATTCGTTCGTTATCTGATCATTTTTTTTTTTTTTTTGATATTTATAAATTGACTAATTTTTTTTTTTTTTTTTTCCTTTTCCTTTTTCGTTCTTCAGGGAGTCCCCCTTTTTTAACTTTTTCTTTATTTTACTTATTTCTTTTTTCTTTCCCCCTTTGTCCCCTTTGACTTTTGTAAGCAACGTAATAGTAGGGGATTCTTTTTTTCTCGTCGGAATTCGAGAAAGAATATAATAATGGAATATACAGGAATGTATAATGATGATTTTGTTTCTATCAACTACTCAGATATTCCGCCAAAATTTTCAACAAATTCTTCCTACGTGTCCTCTTCTAATAATCCATCCGTTTCGATAACAAACTCGACCATCACCCCGTTATCATCACCACCATCCTCCTTACTGTCCCCCACTGTTCCATTCCCCTCCTCTACTACAACTTCAACCACCTTCTTGGATAAGATTAAATCTTTTAAACCATCTTATAACAATCAACGAAGAAACACTTTGCAATTCTCAATATGTAAGAAATCGGGATGTAACAATCGTTTGATAATTGACGATAGTAAAACCATGGGTTACTGTAGCATGATGTGTCAATTAAATGATTGGTCTCAACCTTCCACCTTAACCGATTCAACTAATGATAACTGCGGACTGAGTGAGGAAGGTCAATTGGACCTTGGAGGAAATAACGAATTAAGCGGGATAAGAGAGATGAATTTCAACGCTCCAAATGCTGGAAATAGGTTTAGCGGTATCAATTTCAAGAACTTCAGTGCGACAAAAAGGGAGATTGATAATGTTACGGTCAGATTAGGTGATCAGAAAAAACAAAAGAGGGTTAGCCCATGTATAATCAAGAGGCAACCGACGCAACAACAGCAAAAGCTCGAGAGGATTAAATCTTGGAATTATTTCACTCGTCAAAATAAATCTGATGGAAATTCAATAACAACAACAGTATCAGCAGCGGCAACGGCAGCGGCAACGGCGGCGGCAATGACAATGGCAACGACAAATCTTGCTACTATGCCATTAAGTCTGAACGACTTTTCAGAAATTTTACCTTCAAATCATACCAATATCGTAGATTATCCCTCTCCCTCGCATAATCTAACGAGCTTTAATTTGGGATCGTACTCTGATTTAGGTGATTACACCAGCAATCTTAGTAATAATACTAATGTTAATGATAATAATCATTGTAGCACCTGCTTGGATTATGATGAGAATGATTCACACTACTCAAATGATTTTCATAATCATGGTATAATACAGAATATCAATAATAATCAGCAAAATTATTTTGTCTTAAATAATGACGATCTCGTTGATGCTGCTGCTCAACCACAACAACCATTGAGCTTTGATAATACATCAGAATTTGTTATAATGACAACATGTTCTGCTTGTACGTTTTTAAATGATTCTAGATCTATTATGTGCGTATTATGCCATAATCCATTATCTCCACAAGAGTTAAACATTTCTTATCTCGACGACAACTATAACGTGCCATTTTCTCAACCTTATTCACTTCCTTCCCAACCGCAAATACAACAGCAGTTACAACACCAAATACAACAACAACAACAATCACTACAACCACATCCACAACTACAATCAAATGTCCAACAACAATTGCCATTTCCTCGACTTCATTCGCATCCTTCCCAACCACGATTACAACGACAGTTAGAACAACAAATACAACATTTACAAATTCAACGACAGTTACGACCACCAACTACACAACAATTTCAACCACAGTTACAACCACAATTTCCAATCCAATCACAAACACAAGAACAGCTGGGACAACATTTGCAAATGCAACAAAATGTTCAACTGCAAATGCAACAAAATTTTCAACTGCAATTTCAACAACAACAATTACAATCACAGATGCAGCAATCGCAAGTGCAACAGCCGTTACTACCTAAACGACAACAATCTCAATTACGAACAAATGCACTTCTACGTATAAATGCACTACAACGCATACAATTACGACAAAAGTTATCACAACAACGATTACAACAACAACGATCAAAACAACAACGATTACAACAATTAAAACGATTACAACAAACATCACATCTACAAACACAACCCCAGTCGCAACCACAACCACAATTATTAAGTAATTTTTCATTTCCGACATCAATTCCTTCCACCCCCACATCCTTTAACGCGTCTGATCCAACAAATAAATGCGTATTATCAAAAACCAAATTAAACGTTCTTTCCGAGGGAGATGCAGAATATAACCAAATACGAGATTATTTTTTTATTGGTTTACCTCACGCTAATATACATTCTATAATTCAATTACAAATGCCTACTAAATTAATTAATGCTCATGCACAATATAAACATACTTCATTATTAAATCATTTATCGACAACGCAAGAAGACAATTTGGATAAGTTTACATATAGAATGTTTCATGGTACCAAAATTAGTTGTAATCCTAAGCGGCTCATTAATGGGCATAATAGTTATTGCATGTTTAATTGTGGTATGTGCGGTATAATACAAAATGGAAATCAAAGAAAATATAGTAGATTTAATGGAAGTAAGTGTCAAGGAAGATAGGGAAACGTAAAAATGGAAGAATTGAGACGCTAACTCTATTTCTCGATCATTTTCATTTAGGAATGTGGTTTGCTAATAATTCGGCTATATCACTGGGATATTGTAATTTATCAACTTCCAGAACTTTATTTAATTGTACACCTTTTGCTTCAAAGAGTTCTTTATTGGCCATGTTTGTTGTCGACGTTGTCTCTTATAATTCTAGTGATATTATTATCGTTGATAAAGATGAGGTATGTAATATCCTAAACGGAGTCGATGTTTTGTTTTTCAGTGTCGTTTATTTAACCTCATTTGATTTGATTTTCTAGGCTACGCTACCTAGATATTTGATATTATTTGAAATCGGATTTTAAAATTGGATGGGTTACATCTTTTCTTTGTATATATTTGGTATGTAGGAAATTGCTATTATGTAATATATATTTATACATATACCATTATGGGAGTTTGTACATGTTCTTACCGGACGATACACCTAGTAATATATTTACTCATTTATTAAATTGTATATATACATTATTTTTAAAATAAAAAAAAATCAATCAAATAATTTTTGTCTAAAAAAAATACTACCAAATTTTGGTGTTCAATTCCTATGTATACATTACTATATTAAGTATAAATTCATTCAAATCGATACTTTACCATAGTAAGTTTTTATTTAGTAATTTACAATCGTAACATCTGCTTAGTAATGCTTATTATCAATTTATCAATGTAGAGTCTATTCAAACAGTATTGTTACAAAACAATATGAGAAATAGTCAAAAAAAAGTCAATTTGAAGGGCCCATAAAAAAGATTCAAAATCGTAAACTGTAAACTAATCCCTCCTTTCTTTTCTTTGCTTGCTCATAGTTGTTTTCAATAAATGAAACTAGAACGACAATATTGTTGCTCATGTAGATACTATAATAAAGAAATGTGTGGTAAATGAAATCAAAAAGGAGAACTTTCAGTCTTTGTGACTGTAGCCACAATAGCTTTCGAACCATAAACTTCAAAACTTGTTGAAGACTTCAAAACGTTCACAAATAAAACGAAAACAAAATATTAAACAAAAAAAAAATTATTACTTTTATTTATTTTTTGTTGCTGGCTAAAGTAAGAAAAATCACTGCTATAAAGTCTCCTTCTGATACTCACCTTTACAATATATTCCATTTTTCCAGAGTTAACTTCCCAAAATGCAGATAATACTACCATCACTGACACCATCACCACCACCAAAAAAGGGTTCAGATCCCTAGTATCAAGCAAAAAGAAGACCTTAAATAGCAGCAACAACTCCTCAACTTCTAGTTTCCAATCTATAAACTCGTCAGTAATATCAACTTCAAATGCAAAGGATTGCAAATCCTACTAGAACAATCATGTAAAAGTCTTATCAAAGATATTGTGATTACCTACCATAATTGATTATAAGTTCACCTGTAAACTTCTCAAATACGTATTTTCGTTCAGCTCTACAAGCCTTGTGATTCTCTTTAATAACCAATAAACATAAGCTCTCTGAAAATATCTTTACAATCAACACCATCTTCATCTACAAATTATAAGGAAGAAGAATAGCTAAATATAAAAGAAAAAAACAAAAGATCAAAAAAGAAAAGTGAAATTATACCTAAATTTTATAAAAATGCATAATAAAATGATAAATAAAATTAACCTATAATATAATTATTGACTATTTGCAAAGTAGATAATTTTGATTATATATGTAGATAAAATATGAATAAATATAAGAAGATAATAAATTTTTCAAAGATAAAATTTTTGAAAAAGATTATATATTTAAAATTAAAGAATAATAAAGTCTATGATAATATATTAAATAACTTTAATTGATAAAACTATAAATAAAGCTATTAAAATTTCAATTTAAAAGATAACAAAATCATGTTAAAGTAGAATCCCAAAAATCTCTTATATAATTCAGATTAGAATTAAAATTTATATGTAAATTCTGACAAAAATTACATATTACAAAGATTTTTTAAAATTTATTATTCTATATATCTAGTTTTTAAATCAACTAGTAATTAAATTTAGACAATTTTAGTATTATTAAATTTGTCTTAACAAGCGAAATCTAATGGTAATAAAATTGTATTTCTAGTATCAATATTAATTGAGTTATTGTAAAAAGCGTATTTTACTATGTCATTTGTAAGTTAAATAAAAAATATTCAAATTTTATTAAAATTTAAAACTAGGAAAGATCTAAAATACATCATTATCATATATGCAAAAATTTCTCAAAAAATATTGAAATAAATTTTTACATATTGTACTTATTTAAAGATTTCTGATTCTATAAAAATACCAAGAAAAAAATTATATAATCTCATAAAAAAATCAAAAGATCTAAAAGCTTTGCATTTTAAGATTAAGAAAAAAAATAATAATTGATCATTAGAAAAAATTAATAATAATTGCAAACTTATGTACTTTAAAAAATTAACAAATAAATCTTATTATAAGTACATAAAAGATAAAAAAAGTTAAAAAATAAACTTATAAGAGATTTATAACTATTAATCTAAGAATTCAAATTCCATTTATAATATACTTATCTATAAAAAAATCACAAAAGTTAATAATAATGATATATAGAAATTGATAAGATTTTGATTATATACAGACAAATTAAATTCAATAAGAGACACACTTAAGAGTTCAATTTTAAGAAAAAGAAAAAAAAGCTAAAAGAATTGATAAAGTGATTCAAAAATTTTTAAAAGAATTAAAAATCTGAAAAATAAATTACATAAAAAAATTATACATTACCTTATGAAAAATTATGATATTATTATTATACTCAAATTCAATGTTTCAAATATGATGAAATGAAAAAAAAGAAAGATTAATTTAAAACTATACAGAATATGTTAATATAATCATATTACTTATTCTAACAATGGTAAAACATAAAATAATGAGACTAATATGAAAATAATTATACAAAATGAAGCATATATTCCAAAAACATATTCTGCATGTGGAAATATACAGAATATAGAAGAATATAAAGGGTACTATACATTACATTTTTTATTTAAATAATAAAATCAAAAGTAAGTTAGTATAAAGGTATTATAATTAAATTCTAAATAAAAAATTAAAAAAGTATATATTATTACTGTAAAATTCTTTTAACTCAGATTAGTTACATTTTTAAGTTCCTATTTAAAATTGCTAACTATAGTTATGATGTTAAAATCTACTTAACTCTTAATTTTATTAAATTTATGTACTAAACTTAATAAATCTATCAAGTATAAAAACTTGAAAAATAAGACTACAAATAATTTTAATTAAAAAATTTAGATAACGAACTCAATTACAAATATTATATAGAAATTATATTCAACTATATAAAAATATAAAAAAATAGAAAGATATAAAATTTAATTGACTCTTTTATTAATATTGAAATTTATATTCTTATATTCACAAATGAGTTTAAAAGAATTAATTTATAATATAAACAAAAAGTCTATCTATTATACAAAATTTATTTTATTTAACTAACTGATTATTACATTATAAACTAACTAATTTAATAAATAAAATATAAATAAACTAATAAAAATACATAATAAAATAAAAAAATTAATAAAAAGTAAAATATTAAAATAAATATAAAATTGAGTATTTTTAAGCTTCGTTTAATTTATAATAAAAGTAGAATATTAAAATAAGTATAAAATTGAATATTGTTAAGTTTTGTTTAATTTATAAAATTAGAATTATTATCAGTATTTTGTAGATCTATAGAATTTCAAAAATTTTCTGTATTTTTAAAATTTGTAAAATTCTCAGTATTTTCAGAATTTTAAATCAAGAGATCATCATATTGTGTAATCTATATAACTTTATTATTATTAAGTAATTATTCTATTGATAATATAAAAATTTTAATTGATTTCTTTATTATTACTTAAAATTCATAAAATAGTTAATTTATATCTTAAAAAGAAGTTATTTTATTTATATAAAACTTAATTTACTATAATTAATTATTTTATTATACTATATTTGACTAAATTAATATATATTATAATATTTAAATACATAATTAATAAATATACTAAAAATATTAGTATTTAAAAAATATTAAAAATATATGTATTGTTAATGTGTAATTCTTGCAAACTACAACTATTAGACGGGATGTTCAGTTTATTTTTTTAATTGAAAAGTAATCTTTCAACAATTTGCAAATTTTAATTCAGATGGTTTATCAAAAGTGTTTATACTATTACAACGAGCAGTGATCTATCAGATTGGCAGTAGTTATATTTGTAAAATAATGTGTTTATTCACAAATAAAATAATAAAAATAAAAGAAGAGAAATAAAAGAAAATAAGAAAATAGAATAAGAAAAAGAAATGAATTATAAATTTTTTTAAAAAAAAATAAAAAAAAATAAAAATAAAATAAAATAAAAGAAAAAATAAAAATAAAACAAAAGAAAACTAAACGAGATGAAAAAACGAAATTAAAAAACTAAAATAAAACTATAAAATAAAATTAAGTGAACAAGACGAGACGAAAAAATGAAATTAAACAAATGAAAAGAAACTATAAAACGAAATTAAAAAAATGAAACAAAATAAAAAAATAAAAAAATCTATAAAATAAAATTAGAAAAATGAAACGAAATGAAAAAACGAAATTAGAAAAATGAAACGAAACAAGAAAATAAAATGAAATGAAAAAATGAAAAAAAAAAATGAACAATATGAAAAAAACAGAATTAAATAAACAATAAAAAAAAAACTGAAATTTTTATTGCCTTACAAGCCTTGCAGGCATGTCACGATTTTGCTATTTATTTCAGTTTGCCTTGCAGGCTCATCATAGTTTTACCTTGTATTTCTTATTTACCTTGTAGTAAGCAAATTACAATTTCTTCTACGAGTATGCCTTAATTCTAAAAAAGTAAATATATTTAATATAAATCTAAAAAATCATTTAAACGCTTTTATTACTTGATCTATTCCAGAATTGAGTTCTAAAAAGGTCGTATAATCTTTCCATAGTATAGGTCTACCAGGACTCTGAACAATATATGTATATGTTAGATTTGAGATTGCTTATTGAACATAGAAAATTTTTGATTAAGTCACCTAAAATTTTGCGTAGCAGATAATAAAATTTTAATATAGTCAGATATGTATTTGTGTAGCAGAGATAAAAATTATCAAACTCAGTAATTAGTTTGCGTAGCAGAAATATATTTTTGGAAATATATGTGATGTCAAATATAATCTAAAAAAGATAATTATACCTCTTAAATTAAAACACGTAAATAAAATCAATACGTAATTTTTAAATTAATTTAATA